TTTTWAAWTTTTTTTTAGTACRAGCATAATTTAATTATATCTGTATAAAGTAAAATGTGTATAAAATAATTTTTATTTCCATTTGCCACAACTAGGATTCTAAGAACAGGACATATCAGATTAAATCTTACCATCATATATTATTTGAGAAGCCAAGTTTTATATTTAAATTTCCATAGGGATAAAAAAAAATGATATTTTGCTGGGTGCAGTGGCATATGCCTATAACCCTACTCAGGAAACTGAGGCAAGAGGATCCCAATTTATTTTTTTTTTTTTTATGGGAAGGGAGGTACTGGGGATTGAACTGAGGAGCACTTAACAACTGAGCCACATTCCCAATCCTACTCTGTATTTTATTTACAGACAGGGTCTCACTGAGTTGCTTAGCACCTCGCCGTTTCTGAAGCTGGCTTTGAAGTCCCTATCCTCCTGCCTCAGCCTCTCCCCACTGGGATTATAGGGGTGTGCCACCATGACAAGTGAGGATCTCAATTTCAAGGCTAGCCATGGCAACTTAATGAGACCCTGTCTCAAAACAAACAATAAAAAAAGGCTGGGTTTATAACTTTGCGGTAGAGCACTTGCCCAGCATGAGTAAGGATACATCCTSAGTAACAACCCCCCCAAATTTTTTTTCATTATTCTCATAATATAAAATCTGACAAAATGAAAACATTAAGAAATGCTGTATGGTAAGGCACAGTGGAGCATGCCTGYAATCCCAGCAATTTGGGAGGGTGAGGCAGGAAGACTGCAAGTTCAAAGCCAGCCTTAGCAATTTAGCAAGGCCCTAAGCAACTTAGCAAGATCTTGTCTCAAAATAAAAAATAAAAAGGGACAGGAATGTAACCCAGGGGTAAAGTGCTCCTGGGTTCAATCTCAAGTACCTCCTTAAAAAAAAAAAAACAAAAAAGAAAGAAAGAAAAGAAACATGGGGCTGGGGATGTGGCTCAAGCGGTAGCGTGCTTGCTCGCCTGGCATGCATGCAGCCCGGGTTCGATCCTCAGCACCACATACAAACAGAGATGTTGTGTCTGCCGAAAACTAAAAAAAAAAATAAATATTAAAAAATTCTCTCTCTCTCTTAAAAAAAAAAAAAAAAAGAAAAGAAACACTGTATATACATAGCCAGGTGTAGAGACACATCCCTGTAATATCCAAGCAGCTCAGGAGGTTGAGGCAAGAGGATCACAAGTTCAAAGCCAGCCTCAGCAACTTAATGAGACCCTGTCTCAAAAAAATAAATAAATAAAAAGACTGGGGATGTGGYTCTGAGGATAAGTACCCTTTAGATTGAATCCCTGGTACCAAAGAAGAAATGCTATATTTTATAAAGGAACTCTTGTGGTTACCTAATACAGTGCTAAACAATGCCTATGCAAGGATATAAAAATTTTAGAGAGCTCAAAAACAAAATGATCACATTCTGTTTTATCTAGAATACTAGCCCTAGTCTCTCGTTGACAACTATTTTATAATACCTCCACTCTTCAGGCTTAGTTTAGAAATTGTTTTCATAAAGATTGAACCTATTAGATTAGAACCCATTCATCAGTTCACCGCCAAACCCAGAAACCCACCAGCATTTGAACTCACACTATTCACTCTTCATCCTCCTTTTAAAGAACAACCACTCCACCTATGTGAAGAATTCTAGAAGGCACCAGCCAATTTTATTAGTAGAAAACTTACTAAAATCTTCCTTCTTGCTCCTCAAATGATATCTGTTAGGAGTTCGTTTATGGAAGGCTTCAACTTGCTGTGCAAGGGGCACATATGTAGAAGCTGCTTCATCAAATGTTCTCTTCTTTCCTTGGGAGAGGTTAAAAGGCTTTGTAATGGTACATCCCTTAAGCACATGAGCCTATGAAAAGAAAAGTTGTTCCACAAACAAAATGTTATAATAAATATAATAATAAAAGAGCACAGATCTACCATAAGGCATATATTCTGCACAAATAATAAAAATATAAGCCTGGCATGGAGGTGAACACCTGAAATCTCAACAAACTCAGGAGGCTGAGGTAAGAAGGTTCCAGGTTTGAGGTGAACCTCAGCAACTTAGCGAGAACCTGTCTCAATACAAAAGGGCTAGGAATGTAGCTCAGTATAGAGTGCCCCTGGGTTCGATCCCCAGAACTCCAAGAATGAATGAATACATAAACTGTGTAATACCATTGAGCTACATTCCCAGCTCCCTTTTTGTTTTTTGGCTTTTTAAATTTGGGACAGGGGCATTCCTTCTGCCTCAGTCTCCCAAGTAGCTGGCATTACACCCATGCACCATTGCACTAATCTCCCTTTATTTAAAAAAAAAAAAAAAATCGAGCATTTAACAAATTATTATTATTATTATTATTTTTTGCAATAATACTTAGTTTTCCCAAGCATGTGAGTATTTTGAACTAATCAAGACCAAACTTTCTTAGAATTCAATGGGGGAAAAAATGCTGCAAAGGCATCCTACCCAAACCCTTTAAAGTCAATTGACCAGGCTCTGGGTCTGCATCAAGTCAGGCAGATGACTGATGAAAAAGCCTACTCCTTAAATCACTAATTTTAATAAAACTAGTCTCTGACAGGAAGAAAAAGTTTAAGGATATATCTTAAAAGGAACACAAATTCAGGGTTTAAGATTGCAAAAGACTGGTCTGGGGCTGTAGCACGTGCCTAGAATGTGTGAGGCACTGAATTTGATCCTCAGCACCACATAAAAATAAACAAATAAAGGCATTCTATTCTGTCCATCTACAACTACAAAAAAAAAAAAAAAAACTGACCGACTTTAAAAACTGATGGTGCTCTGGAGTTGTGGCTCAGTGGTAGAGGACTTGCCTGGCATGTGTGAGGCCACGGGTTCAATCCTCAGCACCACATAGAAATAAAATTTTAAAATATCCATTTACAACTAAAAAATATTAAAAAAAAAAAAAAAAACCAACAAACAAACTGATAATGCCAGGGGCTGGGGTTATAGCTCAGCGGCATAGTGCTTGCCTTGCACTTGTGAGGTACTGGGTACAATCCTCAGCACCACATAAAAAAATAAATAAATATGGCTGGGTCTGTGGTTCAGTGATAGAGCGCTTGCATGTGTGAGGCCCTGGGTTTGATTCTCAGCACCACATACAAATAAATAAATAAAGGCCCATCAATAACTAATAAAAATATTTAAAATAAATAAATAAAGATATTGTGTCCATCTTTAAAAAAAAGAAATAATTAAAAAAACTGATGATGCCAACTACAAATGAGAGTAGATTATCAGTTCTAGAATTTTTGAATTATTATTTAATAAATATTTAATAATTTTAATAAATAATTTTATTAAATAGAATTTGAGTGATCTGCCCCAACCTCATTTTCCCCATAACCTCTCTTATATTTTGTATAAAATTTTGCAAACCTAAGAGTCTGTCAAGAATTTTATGACAGTAAAAATGCCTATACCTTCAGTTTCTCAAACTGAATGTGCTTTATGCATCTTATCAATTACATTTTCAGAGCAACTTAGTAAGATAGTTTCCAGGAAGGAATGATTTATCCAAGGCCACACAGTTTACAAAAGATTTACTTAAATTCAAAATATATACTTCTCTGAATTGTACTACTGTAAAAAGTGACCACAAATGCTACACTTGAAGTCTTAACTGAATTAATTTATCAACATACAGGAGATGAAGGATGCTTTCGAAGTTCAGATACAAAGTTTACTTCCTTATACTCCTCCTGGTTCTTAGGGTGCTGTTTGATTCGCTCATCTGTGCGGAAGTGGAAGTCAACTGATTTAGTTACTTGGCTCACTGATTTCTTCACAGGTTGCCCTAAGTGAGAAGCAGAGTAAAACAGAGATAACATGAAGAATAGAGAACATCGGGCTGGGGATGTGGCTCAAGCAGTAGCRTTCTTGCCTGGCATGCATGTGGCCCAGGTTCGATCGTCAGCACCATATACAAAGATGTTGTGTCCGCCAAAAAAAAAGAAAAACTAAAAAATAAATAAATATTAAAATTCTCTCTCTCTCTCTAAAAAAAAAGAATAGAGAACATCAGTTGAGTGCAGTAGCTCCTGCTTATAATCCCAGCAATTCAGGAGACTGAGGCAAGAGAATCACAAAGCTGAGGACAGCCTTGGCAACTCAGCAAGAAACTGTCTCAAAAAAAAAAAAAAAAATACAAAGGGACTGGAGATATAGTTCAGTAGTAAAGCACTGCTGGGCTCGATCCCCATTACCCACCTCCCCTAACACAAAAAGAATACAGAACATCATTAAATCCTCTTTTACACTAATCCTTTTGGTATTCCTATTACCATGGATCTAACTGTTTACTATCTACATGTAACCTGGAACTGAAAACAGTCCTCAGGGACACTAACACATGTCATGTTTATTAAGTCCTACTGGGTTTGAAGCCCTTTGGTCAGATACAAGCAAAGGGAAGAATCCCATTTCCTAGGTATAATCATTACTCTGGAGAAAAAATTACTAGAATACTTTTGATAGGAAAAGCTATGGACTGATCTTTTTCATGTGGGGGGTGCTAGAGACTGAACCTAGAACCCCACATATGCTAGTCAAGTGCTCTGCTACTAAGCTACACTATCACTCCCTATACAATGACTTTAAACGCAAACTTAGCATCCCTAAGAAGTAAAACTTATAAACTCCATGGTTGCTTTTTCAACCCAGTAAGCAGACTCTTTAGTTTTGACTTAATAAATCTATGTCAAAGTAAAGCAAAACTGTAATCTTTTCCCTCAGTTATACTTTTCCTCCACAGCTACAAGTGAAGTTGACTCAGCTCTTTTTGCCTTTACGATAAAAGGAAGAAACAACAACAAACTGGCCTGTATAATTATTTTGCCTTTTGTCTCAATCATAGTTCCTTCTTTTTCTAATACAAAGAGGAGGAATAGCACACCTAAGGAAGGGCTAATGCAGATAAAATGTTTTATGGAATAATCATTGGGATATAAATGGAATTCATGTCCAGTCTTTTAATACACCCAGCCTTTAGTGATGACTACCAAGAAAGCCTTTTTTTGCTTTAGAGACCTCAGAAAACCCTACCAAGATTGTAAAAAGCATCCCTCAAAAATTAGTCTCAACCAGAGCCAAGCTGACCTGCTCCTGCAAGAGCAAGTTTCTTGTATTCTTCATTCTTTTTCCGCATCTCCACTACTTCCTGCTGCATTTTCATTCTCTTCTCCAACTCTTGCTCCTCAGTACTTTTTAAAACCTTCTGCCTAAAGGGAAATCATTAAAAGAGATGAGAGGAGAAAGAGGCCCAATGATTCACAAGAACTTAAAGGTATTATATAGACTGTTTTTAATCTATGATAAGTAAGCATCAAAATCCAAAAATATTATCTAATAAGCAGATATTGGCTTAATTAGATAACATGATAAAAATATGCATACTTCAAAATTTAAGAATTTTTCGGAAAAAATATAGCTAAAACAGACTATAAAAGACTCACAAATCTGTGCAATGATTAGCTTTTATGCCATATAAAAAATTTAATTCAAAAATCCAGGGACAAGGTTGTGGCTCAGTGGTAGAGCGCTTGCCTAGCATGTGTGAGGCACTGGGTTCGATCCCGGGTACCACATTAAAAAATATATAAATAAATAAATAAAATTAAATAAAGATAGTGTGTCCATCTACAACTAAAAAAAAAAAAAAAAAAATCCAGTAGAACAGTGAGGCTGTAGAGTATTTTGCATAGCACATGTGAGGCATGGGTTTGAACCTCAATACCACATAGAAATAAAAATAAATAAAATAAAGGTATTGTGTCCATCTACAACTAAAAAAACCAAAAACAAAAAACAGTAGAATGGGAAAAAAAGAGGACTAGGGATGTAGCTCAGAGGTATAGTGCTTGCCTAGTATCTGCAAGACCTTGGCTTGATTCCCAATACTGAAGAAAAAAACAAGAATAGGGAAAATATTTACCAACAAATATAACAAAGAATACGTAAGTGTAAYAGAGAAGACAGAAGTAAAGTCAACCGGGGTTCAAATCTCAACCCTRTCATTTCATTTCTTACCTATATGAATTTTTTAAAAAATTATTTAGCCAGGTTCAGTGCCACATGCCTATAATCCCAGAGACTCAGGAGGCTGAGACAGTAGGATTAAAAGTCTAAGGCCAGGGGCTGGGGTTGTAGCTCAGTGGTAGAGCGCTTGCCTTGTACATTTAGCATCACATAAAAATAAATAAATCAAACAAAGTTATTGTGTCCATCTACAACTAAGAAAAAAAATTTTTAAAAAAGAAAGTCTGAGGCCAGCCTGGGCAACTTAGTGAGACTGTCTCAAAATAAAAAAATTAAAAGGACTAGGACTGGAAAATAGTGGTAGAGAGTGCCCCTGGGTTCAATTCCCAATAAAAGGAAGTAAGGAGTTGGGGATATAGCTCAGTTGGTAGAGTGCTTGCCTTGCATGCACAAAGCCCTGGGTTCAATCCCCAGTATCCCAGTACCACAAAAAAAAAAAAGGAAGTAAGGAAAAAAGAAAGGAAGGGAAAGAAGAGAGAGGGAGGATTAGAGGAAGGGAGGAAAAGAGGGGAGGGAAACAAGGCAAGCAGGCATGATTGAACTATGTCATGGCAAGTGAATAAAACAGAACCCAAAAGTTCTTTATTAACAGTTATGAAAGTATGTGTATCTACTTAGATAAAGGCCAAAGGGAGCAGGCTGGGATCGTGGCTCAGTGGTAGAGTGCTTGCCTGGTATGTGTGAGGCCCTGGGTTTGAATCTCAGCACCGCGTATAAATAAAAAAAAGGGAGCTTTTAAAAATGAAAATTGTTGGGCTGGGGTTGTAGCTCAGTGATAAAGGACTTGCCTCACATGCRTGAGGCCCTGGGTTCGATTCTCAGCACCAAATAAAAATAAACATATTGTGTCCATCTACAACTTAAAAAAATTAAAACTGTTCAATGTATGTAGTAAGAATCTTTACCTTTTCCTTCTATATTTTAAATTTGCTTTAATAGCATATTTTTCTCATTATTTAAAGTATAAGCACCCTCCAGAACACTAGTAACAATTCACTTTGCCCCCTGGTCACAACTTTAGAGGAGTTTCCCAAGCTCCAGGAGCACCAAATGGAATGAGGATGTACCTTTTTGTAAATGGAATCTATTTGCTCTAAAATATAAATAGGGAAACTTACTTTATGAATGGTGTGCAAGTCATAGTATGTCTGCCCTTGACTTTCTCTGAGGAAGATTCAGCCTTTTGAGAAGTATCTTGAGAACTGCCTCCTTCCTCTTCCTCTGGTTTCTTTTTGTTGGTAGAACTTAAGTTCAGAAGGACACAAAATATATTCTCAATGTCCTAAAGCATATGCCACACCATCCTCTCCAAATCTACCATGTGGCTTAAATTTTCTCATTTTTAAGATGGTAAGCATGTATCAACCACATAATTCTTTCAATAGTATCATCTGAACATATATACCGAAGGTTCCAGGGAATAAACTTTGAAAAAATCAACAGAGGTCAAGGTAAAGGTTGACCAGCGGTGATTCGGTAGAGTAAGATGGGATTCTTTCTATCAGCTCATCATCAAATGAACAAATGGCAGACATCTAATCCCCTTCCTAATATCTATTCCATCTCTTTCTTATTAATAAGACCCCAGTTTGGGAGGAATCACCAATATACCAAAGCTACTACAAGTAAGTGCTGAACTTGTTTTAATAGACTCCTCTGCAACTAAGGGGTCAAGGTAGTAGTCTGGCAACTAAAATACAATTCAAAGGCTTCTGGGAAAGATTTCATTTTCCTTCCATTACTGTACTCCTTCTCTTGAAAATGGATGTGATACAGCAGCTACCTTGTGGCAAGAAGCAAAAGGAAAAAGCTGAGAAACAGAGCAGCCACCTTGAGCCACAAGTATGAAAAAAAATGCTAAGAATCAGAGATGCTAGCCCTGGCATTATTTACCCACTGAACCAAAGCCAGCAGCAAACTACTTTGTAAAGCAAATAAATCACTATTATTTAAACATTTCAGCTGAATAGACCATGACTTGCAGCAAAATACATTCCTAACTGGTAAAAATAAGAACCAACAGTATATATTCAGCTTGCTCTYAGACAGGGAATCAAACAGAAATAAAATCTGTGTCAAGGCAGATTTGACAACCTCCAGGGTGCATATAACAATTTACCTCATCATGGTCACAGCCTTAAGCTTCCCCAGATCCAGGTGCAAATATATTGCGGATGTACATATTTTACTTGTACCCTATTCCCTTGGAAAGAAATTAACCTTACAGGTGGTAAACAAGGCACACACAGTACGTCTGCTCTCAGCAGTTAGACGCTCAGGCTACTTACACTTTCATTCTTTTGGAAGGTGGTATTTCACTGATTACGGGAGTGGCACATCTCTTTGCTTTCATTTGAACATGGCGTTTTTCTTTTTGCTCCAAATCCTTCTGAGCAGAGAGTCTAAGAGATCTTCTATGGTAGAGGAATTGACAAAATTTATAATGAATACAGCTGCTACAGACATAACGTTCTTCAGAAGCATGAAATTGTAAAAACTACAAAAGATTATAAAAAGCTTAAAAATATTATCTACATTCCAAAAATCTAACCTCTCTTAAGTTGCTGACAATTTTTGAAATTTGACAATAAGATTTTGGCTAAATAAATTTGTGTTTATAAATTAAATCTCAATAAACCTGATTTTTAAAAAAAAAATAGAGCAGGTACAGTTGAGTGTACTGTTGAGTTTCTTAGGAGTCTGGGGGGGGGGGGCATGGAACTCAGGAGTTCAAGACCAGCCAGGGTATATAGTAAGATTCTACTTCCTTTAAAAAAAATAAATAACTTGCCAGCAATCACCTATAATTCCCTCCTTTTATAGGTCAGAGTCAAAAGAAATGAAAAGGCTTGACTCTTTTAGTCAACATGTTAGTAACTTGCCATAGCTTGTTACCATCAGACTTAAAATTAGAGTAGAGCTTCTAGAAATTGACTAAGGTGTTTATTTTTTCCTTTTTCTTTTAGTAGACCCTACCTTTGGAAAAATACAAGAAACAGTGAACAAAACACAAATAAATAATTACAAAGTGAAGACTCATGAAATCACCACCTAGGATAAGAAACAGAATATTGACAATAGCTGCTATCTTGATTTTTACAGTAATCATCACTTCTTCTTTATCATGTTACCAAATAAGCATGCATCCCATAAATATGATATATTARTTCTTAGGGAAAACAATAAACTTCATAAAATATAAAAATCAGACTACTACAAGTATAATTTTGTGTTTTATTTCACTCAGTGTTGTAGAATTCCATATATATATTAAGAGAAGTTAGATTTTTGGAATGTAGATAATAATTCTAAGCTTTTTATAATCTTTTGTAGTTTTTACAATTTTCATGTTTCTGAAGAACATTATGTCTGCAGCAGCTATACTCATAAATTTTGTCATACACACACACACACACACACACACACACACACTTCAAAAGCCAATAGATGAATTAAAATACAAAACTAAAAATTATTTGTATGACGGCTAGGGTTGAGCTGAGTGGTAGACACTTGCCAAGCATGTGCAAGGCTCTGGGTTGAATCTCTGGCACAATAAATAAATAAGCAAACAAACAAACAAATATTTGAATGATACAAATATAGGAAAGGAAAATCAGAACAACAAAAAAAGATGAGATGTATAGAAAACACCAAGTACAAAGGCAGTTCTAATTTAATTAAATTCATGATTATAATACAGAAATGGTAAAAGCAAATATAAACATTTTAAACAAAATGCAATTATTAGATCAATGGTAGAGTGTTCATTTAGCATACATGAGGTCCTCAGTTTGATCCCAAACACCACAAATAAAAGTGACAATAATAAAATAAAAGTCAAAAACAGGTCAAAAGTTAAAGGATAGCAAGAAATCTACAAGCTACGTGAGATAGCACATGACTAATCCCAGCTACTCAGGAGACTGAGGTAAGAGATTGCAAGTTCAAGGCCAGCCTTGGCAACTAAGACTTGTCTCAGAACAAAGAGAAACAGGCTAGGAATGTAACTCAGTGCTAGAGCACTTGCCTAGAACAAAGAGAAACAGGCTAGGAATGTAACTCAGTGCTAGAGCACTGGCTTAGCATGTGCACTCAAACTTTTTCAATCCCAGTGGGGGGGGGGGTAATAAAGAAAAAGATACTATGCAAATATAACCATGAGAAAGCTTGAGAAACATTGAGGAATAAAAAGAAACAGGGGCTGGGACTGATGCTCAGTGGTAGAGTGCTTGCCTAGCACATGTGAGATAATAGGTTTGATCCTCAGTACTGCATAAAAATAAAGTTATAAAAAAGAGAGATAAAATAAATAAAAATGAAACCTTCAAAAAATATGACATCAGGAAGATGTAACAATTAAATGCATATAAAGCTTTTGGATCCAGACTGATCAGGATCTGAATTCTAGCTCTGAAATGACTTGCCTTGGGCAAGCAACTTAGTATGACTGAGCTCTGTAAATTAAGCTTACAAGCTACAATTCATGTGTTAAATGAGGTAACATAAAGAGTGTAACACAGAGCTGGGGCCCTGGCTCAGCGGCAGAGTGCTTACATGTGAGGCACTGGGTTCAATCCTTAGCACTGCATACAAAAATAAACACATAAAATAAAGGCATGCTGTTCATCTACAACTACTAATTTAAAAAAAAAAAAAAAAAAGAGTGTAACAGAGTGGACACATAGGAGGTGATCTACGGGGTTATTACTTTTTTGAAAATGATTATAAGCACAACTTTTTTCTTTTTGGTACCAGGTATTGAACCCAGTGGTGCTTTACCACCAATCCTTCTTTTTTTAAATTTTAAGACAGTGTCTCCCTAAATTGCTTAGGGCCTTGCTAAGTTGCTGAGTGCCAAGGCTGGCCTTGAACTTGCAATCCTCTGCCTCAGCCTCCCAAGTCGCTGGGATGTGCACCACCAGCAAAACCATAATTTTGAGCCCTAATACAGACTTACCTCTGAGGCTGGGTTGGAGTATTTCTTGATACGGCTCTCTCAGTTTCCAGGGAAGAACAAGCATTTGAAGGAATGGAATATTCCATAAGATTTTCCTTTTCAGCCTCTTTGTAATAAATGTTGTCAACTGTGGAAAACCAAAAAAAAAGTTGGCACTCAAATCCAAAAGGCAATAGATTAGAAAAGATATAGACATATATAAGTATAGATATATATATGACTTAATACAGAATATATATGACTTAATACAGAATTCTAGGTTGAAATCATGTATACACACACACACACAAACACACCCTTCCTAAGCAAAGGAACCCTTAGTTCCAGTGATATCTTATGTAGCAGTCTGTTTATAAAAGCTTCTTTGCTGCCGGAAGTGGTAGCACATGCCGATAATTCCTGCAACTCAGGAGGCTGAGGTAGAAGAATTTCAAATTCTAGGTCAACCTCAGCAATTTAGCGAGACTCTGTCTCAAAATAAAAATTTTTAAAAATTTTTTTTTCTATTGTTGACAGACCTCCATTTCATTCATCTATATGTGTGCTGAGAAATGAACCCAGTGCCTCACACATGCCAGGCAAGTGCGCCACTGCTGAGCCACAGCCCCAGCCCATCAAAATAAAACATTTTTAAAAAGCTACTATGGTTAAAGCAGAAATAAAATATGCAAGTTGGGTGCAGTGGCACAACTCTGTAATTCCAGGACCTCAGGAGGTTGAAAAAGGAGGATCAAAAGTTTGATCTTGCTAAGCCAGCCACAATAACTTAGTAAGAACCTGCCTCAAAATAAAAAGTTAAAAGGACTAGGGATATAATTCATTGGTAAAGCACCCTTGGATTCTTTTTTTTTTAATATTTATTTATTCATTTATCTTAGTTTTAGGTAGACACAATATCTTCATTTTATTTTTATGTGGCGATGAGGAATGAACCCAGTGCCTCACACATGCTAGGTGAGTGCTCTACCTCTGAGCCACAACCACAACCCAGCACCCTTGGATTCTATTCCCAGTATTGAAAGGAAGGGAGTAAAGGAAGGAAGAAGGAATGAGGGAGGGAGGAAGGCAAGCAGGCAGGCAAAAGAGAAAAAGCAAAAGACACATGAATACCAGGCTGGGGTTGTGGCTCAGTGGTAGAGTATTTGCCTAGCATTGTGAAGCACAGGGTTCGATTCTTAGCACTGCATATAAATAAATAAAGATCCGTTGACAACTAAAAAAATATTAAAAAAAAAAAAAAACACAGATGGATACCAAAGTTCAGGGTCCTTGTTCCGATCCTGAACTCAGATACCATTTATACCCACAATCAATTATTTGAAAGTCAGCCTAGCAGCACAGACTATGAACTAATCAAGTTCACTGAAAATATGGTTATATCTCTGATACAGCCCCTCTAGTTACAAAGTGACTGAGATCAGTTTCAGATTTACCCACAGGATAATTTTCAGATGTTCTAAATTGATTAAGTTGATAGGTGCACAGCTCTGAGTATACTAAAAAACACCAAAATGTCTATTTTAAGTAGATGAATTACACGATAAATGAACTGTATCTCAACCGAGCCATTACTTTTTTAAAAAAATCATTTTCAAGAGGTTTTAGGGACTGGGGTTGTAGCTCAGTGGTAGA